GGCCCTCAGCCGCACCTCCCCTCTCTGTGTCCCCGCCGTGAGCCGAGAAGGGCCGTCCGGGAAAGAGGGTGCGGCTGCGGGGGGCAGTCTCTGACCTGGCTTCTGACCCGGCAGGATGGGCGACCTGTCAGGTGGGCAACCCAGCCACCTTTTCCTTGTCTGCTCATTTCACGGCATTTCACATAACCGCCTGTAAGTCGCCCATCTCTCCCCGACCTGGCGGTGACATTGCTTTAGTTGGGAAATGCTTCTCGGGTCCATGCGCTGAAGTTCTCCTTATTTTTAAATAACTGCCCTGGCTTAGGAGCCACAGCAGGTGAAGTCGCTCCCAAGTCTGATACTTCTGCCGTGCTTGGGGAGACGGCGTGGGCGAGTCACAACGCCCAGAAACAATTAGCTAGGAAATTACGACTCAGAATATGGGCCTGATTTCTTCTGCACAAAGTCAAAGGCAAAAGTAGAAACATTCTTTGGTTAGTCTCATTTGGTGATGTCTGATTCATTGTGCTTAATTGACCTGCTTATAATCACATTTCCACCGTAGCCAAACCAGTATTAGAAGCTGGGGGTGTGCAAGCTACTCTGGAATTTTACTCCTGTACTAAACTCCTATGTATATACAAATACTTATTATTATCTACTTAGAAAATAAGGAAAAATAGAAGAGTAAACATCAGAGGCCCAGGTCTCAAAGATCTCAGTGGGTTTGGCTTACTTTCAGTCTTTTTCTATATTATTTTACACAATTGAGATTAAACCGAATATATTAAACTTTAAATACCATTGTTTATTCTGATTGTAAAATTAAAAATACGTTTGTTGTAGTTTGGTTGTTAAACCTATTAAACCAGCATTATCTACTGGTATATTGCCAAGGAGAAATTAATCTTTACAAATTTAAAAAGAAATGATGACTCAGACAGATCATTCTTAATAAGTTTTAAAGATGCAGAAAACCATTACTGTAGTTCGTTGAAGTTGAAAATATCTTAAGCCACATAAGCAGTGTTTTGGAAAAAATAGTTTTCACTTGTTATTTTTTAGCCTTTTTTCCCCTTTCCAATCTTATCAAACTGGACTTCTTAACTTGGGGGTCAGTGGGGCTTCAAACTGCCTGAAATAATATGCGCATTATTCTGTGGACACGGTCAGATTCTCAGATGGATCCCCCAAAAGTTAAGATCTACTGGTGTTGATATGTAGTCATTATTAATATTTGTTAGAACACCTTCAATTGTTGTTTTAAATTGTGTTTAAACTTGGCACAGGTACTGCTGCTGCACTGTGAGATGGAAAGTGGTTCAAGAAACTCCAAGAATGAAGCAGAAACTCAGCTGAGGGAGCTGAGCCCATTTTCAAAGGGCTCCACGTATCAACTTTTCACATCACAACAAGCTGATTTAGTGGAAAAGGTGTGGACATTGGAATTAGACTGATTTGAAGTCCGGGGTGGCTTAGGAGAAGTAAATTAATTTTTCTAATCCTCAGTTTTCTCATCTATATATATATAATCCCCATTAGGTTGATGTGAAGATCAAATGAGAAGTATTTTAAAAGCTTCTTGTACAATGTTTGACCTATGTGTGACTACATTTAATAATATTAAAAATTTCAAGATCTTCAGGAGAAAAAATATTTTTTTCTCTCTGATCTTGGGGGTTAATCTTGTGTTCTTCAGGGAAGTCATGCTTACTTGTGTGTGAGGATTCCAACATGGTAGGTCTGAGATTGCCAAGGCAGACTGGTTTTCATGGCTTATTTCTCTTTCTCAGACATGTCTGTAGGACTCCACTCCTTCTAGGGAGGGGAACAAGAGGCGGAGAGCATGGCTGCTGTCATTTCTTCAGCTGGATCTCTGGTAAGTTTGGGTTTCCTTTGTTTCTGATCTGCTGTCTGGGTTTGAGGGCGTCTTTTCCTGAAGTCTTGTGACTTCTCTACCTTGTCCGCATTCCTCCTGGTAACTGAATCAAATTGATTTATGAGTAAAGGCTGTAGTCTATAGGAAGATTCAATACACATACTGAAGCAAATTTCAAGATCTTTCAAAAAATATCAGGCTATTGTTAGATATGATAGGCAGTCTGGGAATTTACTTATGATATTAAATGTGTTTTGTTTCCAGGAAATTTCAGTGATTTAAGGGGTAATAAAATGGGATATTTTCCTATTGAAAATTTCATTTAGAAAATTTTGGGAAAAAATAAATGTACACACACACACTCAATCTCTTAATTCATAGGGAGCATTCCCCTTGTGCCCACTCTCAGTGATTTCCTCTTTATTACCCATTAAGAAGTGATCAAGATTAATAGATGACATGGAGAGAAGAAGAAGTTTAAGACACAGTGCTTGGCTATAGGGAGCTTACAGTCTCATTGAGATAAGGCACAAAAGAAATAGTTACGTAATTTACTTAGGTAAGTAATAGTTGTTTAGCAATATGAATAAGATGATGAGTACTATGTAAGGAAAGAAATGGGACTTTAGTATGGCCTAAATTGGTCATAGAAAGCTCATGAGGATAGATTTAAACTGGTATTCAATTGCAAGTAGGAGTTTAAATTGTCAAAGTATTTGTGAAGGTACTTCAGGTGAGAAAGAAGTTTAGGGCAAGACTCTGAGGCAGAGAAACAGTGGGTGAGCTAGTGATTCAAGGTGGAAAATTGAAAGATAGGAGTGGAAATGAAATATTTAAGCTGAATCTTTTAATGTTTCTCTGAAGATATTGAAGTGTGTATGTGGGTGGGAGCGCGCGCACGCGCCTGTGTGCATGGGTGTGTTTGAGCTGGGTATTGATGTGATGAAAGCTGTGTTTTAGCAATGACTTTTGAAATACGCAGATTCAGAAAAAAGGTACTGCCTACAAATAGAATTTGTTATAGTATGATCCATAATAACCTGCAGAAGTGATCTTTTATTCTTTGTAGTCATAGATAACATATAACTAGTCCTTAAAACATACCCTTGAAACGATGAATAAAAACAAAAACGTTAGACTTAATTAGTAGACCCAAAGTATCTGTCTAGTATTGGCCTGATCAAACCCATCCCTAATTATCAGAGGTTGAAGTTCACATCATTGTACCAGCTTGGGAGGGGAGAGCTAAGGTAATATTTTTCTGAATGAAATTTAAGTAAATAACTTTACCCATATATTTTTTAAATGACAAAATCTAAAATTGGTAAGCTCTACTAGAAGGTATAGTAAAATTTCATTTCATCTATAAAATCATGCTCTTGTAGAGAGAGAGTTTCTAAGGTTTGGAAGAAAACAATGTTATAGAGGTCCCTGAAAATATTTCCTGAGGTTCGAAACATGCTGCCCTCCCTAACACTGCAATGATTCAACTGTAGAAAACAGGTGGTGTTGGTAGATTTTGAATATTATTCTTGAGTAAGATAGATACTTTCTGAGGAATAGATTTCATCCCTTATGAAAAAGGAGAATTATGTAGTATCTAAAGGTCTCTTTTAAACACTGCAGTTACATCTTTCTCAATCTAGTGTGTGTGTGTGTGTCTGTGTGTGTGTATGTGTGTGTATTTGTTATAGTTTCAACTAAGGTGCAAGGAGATTATGATTGGATGTTACTCTGGGACCTTGATATCAACCATCCCTAAATAAAACAGTAGAGGAAGTCATCCCCTATATACTACATCCACAGTGGACTGTGGGTGTTTATTGAGGCTCTGCGGGAGGTCCAAGGCAGCCTGTCATTGAGTGTTCTTACCCTGTATCCCTCAGACTCTTGAAGTTTCCCAGCCAGGTGAAGATCATCTTCAGGCAGAAGAACCAGAATTGGTAAAGGTAATACTTACCATTGTATGTAAGGGAAATAAAGAGAATGCTTTTTTACTGCCCCCAACTTGTAATGTTCGCAGTCCATCGCATATTCACAATGAATACCATCTTAAGTGATAGCTATGGCAATCCCAGGGCTGGTAGCGTTAATTTGACAAATCTCATTTCTCTCAGTAGTGGTAGCCGTAATTGGTAATGAAGTGTCCTATATCACCTGGTCTGATTCTTGCTTCACATTGCAAGACCCAATACCATTAAAAATATCAAGAATACATCAATATCACTTCCTATTTTTTAAAAATATTCCCATCCTTAAGATGAGTTTAATTTGTTTAGATACTCTTATTTCATTATATTTGTTGTTTACTTTATTTGTGAACATAGAATCTACCTGCTTTTTCCAGAAAAAAATATCAAAATCAGAAATGAATAAATTGTATTAAGATAAATTATCCAAAACCTAGAAATAAGGCAAAAGATAAGCCCTTTCAGTGTCATATTAGACCAGCCCACCTAAGGGTCATCTGACATAGCAGGGAAGGTTTTGTTGTTTGACTCAGTGTTTATTATTGATATTCAGGCCCTTAAAGTTAGATGTTAACTTGTAGAAAATTGAAAAGTTTCAAATTATTTCTACCTAAGAGAAAACATAATCCCAAAAGTTACAGCTTTATTGTCCTTTGGACATTTACCAGGTTTCTATCTAATTTTGCAATCTTCAGCATTCTTTTCCCACTGTCTATACATCTGTTTCTTATACCTGCTGTTAAGCCAGTTTGTCAAGCTTGCTTACGTCTCATTAATGACTTAGTACATCTTTGACATACATGTGTTGATTATACTTTTAGGAGAATTATGGTGTGTTTTTTATTTTATGTAGGAGAAGTTCAGCCCCTCTCTCTTTTTTTTAGAATTATGATTTTAGTAGTGGTGTGGTGTACTGCTTCATGCACATTGAAAGGAAATTAATTAGAAGAAAGATTCATGCAGTAATTATGTTACTCCAAAAAATTACATGTCAAAATAGTACATATAATATCTATATATATAAAAGCCTAAGCGAGGGAGCAGATGCTCAACCAGGCCTGTGCCCTCTCTTAATTGATTTAAGTAGTATTATAAAATTAAAACACACGTGTGATTTTCGCCAGCAAGAGCTTTATATGTATCGTGCATGCATGAGTCAATGTTTATTTTTAAATTGCCAGTGCATGTCATATGTACCGGCCAGTTGGTCGGACGGTCAATGAATAAATCGCAATGTAGTTCACGTTGAATGTCAACAAAAACAACCAAATTCACAATCGACAATGACAGATCGAACACACATGTGCTATTGGCACCAGTGAGAGCTTTATATTTATCATGCATGCGCAAGTCAATGTTTATTTTTAATTGCCAGTGCAGGTCATATGTACCAGCTGGCCAGTTGGGATGGTCGGTCACTTGGCCTTATATATAGAGAGATGTTTTTGAAAATTATACTTTGAAAGTTGATTTTATTCCAAACATGTTTTGTGTAAAAATGAGTTTTCCTTTTTGTTTTTATGAGAAAATAAATCCTGAGGTTCAGTCTTTACATGAATTTTTTGAAACATCACTGGACCAATGATTCTTAAAGTATTCTTTAACATATGACAATTTAGACTTTAATATAAATTATGTGTTATTTCAGACTTTGAATTATGAACCTTAGGAAAATACCATAATTTTTGACATGGTGAATAAATCATACGGTTTCTTTTTGTCCTTCTGACAGAGTGAGTCCCTGGCAGAAGATTAATTCTCTCTGACTCTTCCTTAAATTCTGCACTCTGCTTATAAGCACTGAACTTAGCTTTAATTATAATTTGAGTAGAACCAATTATTTAATAATTTTTAATATTTATTTCTGAAAAAAAGCATATAGAATTTTCATAGGGCTTGTGTTGAATCTGTTGATCAGTCTTGGGAATATTGCTATCTTAACAATATAAAGTTTTCCAATAGTATATGGGATGTCTTCTTATTTTGTGTGTGGGGAGGGGGGTTCTTTTATTGATGTTTTGTATTTTTCAGTGTACAAGTCTTACACATATTTTGTTAATTTATTCCTGGGGTTCTTTTTTTGGTGGGGGTTGGGTGCTAGTTGCTACTTTAAATAGATTTTTTTCTTCATTTCTTCATTGAATATTCATTGCTAGTGTGTAGAAATAATTAACTTAAGTATATTTATTTTGTATCCTGAACCTTGCTGAACTAGTTTTAGTTCTTACAGGTTTTTGTGTATGTGTATGTGTAGGGATTCTTCAGGGTTTTCCATATGCAAGAAAATGTCATCTGTAAATAGAGATGATGTCATTTGCAAATAGAAATTTGTTCCTCTCCAATCTGGATGCCTTTTATTTGTTTTTCTTGTCTAATTTCCCTTGCTAAAACTTACAATACAGTGTTGAAGCGAGGAAAGAGGACATCTTTGTTTTTGTGGTCTCCGGAGTAATGTATATGGCTGTTCACCATAAAGTATTGATGTTAAACTTGGGTTTTTATAGATGGTCTAAATCATATTAACAAAGCTTGCTTCTATTTCTGGTTTGTTGAATTTTGTCAAATACTTTTTCTGAGTCTGTTAAGATGATGGTGTGATGTTGGGGTTCTTGTCCCAGCATCAAGAAGGGTTCAGGAATCTGGAAAAGGCTGTGCGTAGATTTATTAAGAGTCCAGAGACTAATAGAGTCCGGAGACGAAATATAATTTTGAAAAGCATTTGGGGGTCAGAGGAGCTTAGCTAAAGGAGCTAAGTTCTAAGGTCTAAGGCCTTAGGTTCTCTCCGTCCCCAGGACCCCATGCTTTTTATTAACACAACTTGTCCTGAGGGGAGGCAGAGATATACACTTCAAAGGGTCAGGGTTTTGTACAGAGTCCATTGTCAGAATGGGGGAATTAGCCTATGGCTGTTCAGGTGTTTGGCCAGTAGGGGGCAATAACATGTAGATTAAGATGCCTTTTAGCTGTCTGGCAGCCAAGCAATAATCCCTTTACAGGTTTGGGGAAATGCCTTCAGCCATTCCCAACAGGTGACTACTTGTGTGACTCAACCCTTTTGAGTCCCCAAGTTTCATCAACCTTTTGATGAAACTCTTGCAATTATGACATGCTGGAATTGGTCTCTGGCAGTGGGACTTCTGCTCTTTATTATATTAATATGGTGTATTACCTTGATTGATTTTCAGATAGTAATTTAACTTTGTATTCCTGGACAAATCCAATTTGGCTGTGGTATTTATGATTGCTTTATTTGTTTCTGGATTCAGTTTGCTAGTATTTTGTTGAGAATTCTGTGTATATGTTCATAAGAGATATTGGTCTGTGGTGTTCTTCTGATGTCTTTGTCTTCTTTGGTAATACTGGCACCATAGAAAGAGTTCGGAATTGTTTCCTTCTATGTTTTGAAAGAGTTAGTGAAGGATTTCTGTTAATTCTTCTGAAAATGTTTGGTGGCTCTCACCAGTGAAGCCTTTTGAACCTGGGCTTTTATTTGTGGGACGTTAATTTTATACCTATTTAGATTTTCTTTGTCTTGTGTCAGTTTTGGTAGTTTGCATCTTACTAGGAATCTGTCCATTTTTTTTCATCCAGGTTATCTAATTTGTTGGCATATAGTTGCTCATATTAGTCCTTTATAATTCTTTTATTTCTGTAAGGTTAGTAGTAATGTCTCCTTTTTCATGTCTGACTTCAGTCATTTGAGTCTTCTTTTCTTTCTCAGTCAATCCAAGTGTTTGTCATTTTGTAATCTTTTCAAAGAACCAAATTTTGCATTTGTTGATTTTCTCTTTTGTCTTTCTATGCTCTATTTGTTTGCCTGGATCCCAGGAACTCCTTCATAAGGGCTGGCTGGCCCAGATGGCAGGAACACAGTGTCCTCAGGCAGTTCAGTGCAGAGGCAGGGAGGTCAGTGCGGGCTTCCCCCCCGAAGTGCAGTTTGTGTGATGTGCCCCTGTGTAGAAAGACTGCTAGGCTCTTTTGTGACTTTTTTTCCCTCTCAGCCACCAGCAGCCCCTCTTGGTCAGTATCTTCTTTCCACAAAATGTATTAGAACTTGTTTTGTGGCCTCCCATACCGTCAGTCCTGGAGAATATTCATGTACACTTGCAAAGAAAATATGTCCTGTTGTTGTGAAGTGTCTCGGTGTTCTGTGGATGTCTAGCTTGTTCATAGTATTTTATTCAAGTTATCTCTTTCCTTGTTGATCCTCTGCATTGCTGTTCTACCCATTATTGAAAATGGGGCATTAAACTCTTTAACTATAATTGTCTTTGTCTTTTCAATTCCATAAATTTTTGCTTCCTGTATTTTGAGGTTCTTTTGTTATTTGAAAATATGTTTAAACTTGTCTTATTGATACAGTAACCAGTTTTATCATTAGAACTATCTCTCTTTGTTTCTAGTAAAAATGTCTATTTTGTCTGATATTAATATTGCCACTTTAGCTATCTTTTGTGTACTGTTTACTTAGTATATTTTTCCCATCCTTTTACAGTAAACTTATTGTGTTCTTGAATTTAAAGTGTCTTTTCTAGATAGCATATATTTGTACCATTTTAACAAAAGTTCATTCTGCCAATCTCTCCATTTGATTTAATTTTTCCATCTATTTATTTTTAATTTAATAACTGACAAGGTAGAATCTATATCTTCTGTGAGACCCCAGAAATGGGACCCTCACTCTGTCCTGCAGACTGGCGGAGACCCCAAT